ATCACCAATTCTATTTTCGCTTCTACTAATGCAGGTTTGGGATTCACATCCTTGATCTTTTCATTATGCGAGCAGGCTGGAGTTAGATTTGATAGCTGGAAGTAGATACTATAACCACTCAAGCTCATTACTAGTGTCAATGTGAAATCCTATTCACATCATTTGATTTTCAGCTAGAGAGGTGGATTTTCTAGCAATTCAGGTGCTTCTACTTCACGTGTTTCGACATCACAAGGTCGGACTTCTGGATCTGATTCTCAATCACAATTATTGCAAAGGATATTGAACAAAGTCAACTATACTGCTAATAGGGCATTAAATTTAGAAAATTTTGTAGAACATATAGATGACATATGAAGAGACATATGATTATGAGGAGAAATTCCACTCATGTATGGAAAACCTCATGAGAGGTGACCAGAGTGTAGTTTTCGCTCAATATCCAAAATATCCATCATATGAGCCTGCAGCTGTTTGACATAGTGACGAGAGTTATCCTGAGGAGGAGGAGGATGATTAGATTGAGTTCTGCAGTTTAGTTTTTTTATTAAGTATTGTTGTGAACTTTTTGTGGTACAGTTAAATTGTACTGTTGTTTTGTTTTAAGTTACATTTGTTGAGCCTATTAGTTTTGTTTTGTTAAAAACTGTTATGATGTATTTATGTTTTTTGTGAGTAATTATTTTATTTTTGTGGCAGTAATTGTGTTAACTGTGTTGTTTAGTGTATATAGTTTGTCTATGTTGAACTTAAGCATGAATCTTAGGAAGGTTTAGAATATTGCTAACTTTTGCTTAAGAACTTCATGTTTAAAATTTTCAACTTACTATCAGAAATTTTCTTTATGTTGCAGTTGTGAATGTTTTTAGTGTGTTTTTTTGCTTTCATGTTATCCTCCAATGCATAAAAGTCTAATGAATATCTATATATTAAGTAAATTAAAATTTCATCAATTTAATTTTTACTCTTTTTTAATTTTTGTACTTGTGTATCTAGGATGTAAAAATTCTTGCAAGCATGTTATTTTTAGTTTTCATACATGCCTAAATATATATAATGCTAAAATATTTTATATTATTAAAAATTTAAGTTTAGGGAGATGAAAAAAAATTTTCAAAACTTGAAAAATTCTAAAAACTTGAAGTTTATTTGTTCTCAAATGTACTTCAAATAAATTCAATTTTGATTTGAAGAAAAATGACCATGTATATGAAGTTATATTAGGGAAGTAAAATTTTGAAGATAGAAATAATTAAGAGAATTTAGTTAAAACCTATAGTAATGAAGAAAAACTTAAAGTTAAGAAACTTTTAGTGTGTAACTATTTTAGTAAGAGAAATTATATTTTTGAAAAATGTGGAAGGATTAGACTTCTATTTTCAAAACTTAAATTTCTTTTATTGAAAGTAATTTTCAAAAATTATTGTTATGTTTTTAAGTAAAGGAAATATATAAACTCTTTGCTTTAGAAAAGGAAGAGTGGAACTTAAAATCATTAAAAACCTATTTAGATATAATAATCCTTGCTAGTAAAAAAAAGAAAAGAAAAAAAGAAAAAAAAAGAAAAAGAAAAAAAAAGAAAAAAAATAAAAGAAAAGAAAAGTTGAAAAAGGGAGGAGAAGGTTGAGGATTAGTGCTTAGTCAAAAATTAGTTTCATATATGATCTTTTTAAAGTATAAGACTTGAGAAAATCTTGAGCTTAAGAATATAATATACTAAGTATAATTATTCTTAAATAAAAATTTTTAAGTGGAGATGATAGAATGCAAAAACTCTATATTTGGAGAATTTACAATATTTCTGAACTAGATTGGAACTCATAGTCTAAGACTTCTTTACATTAAAAATTTCTAAACTTTAAGTTGGTCTCATTTACTAAGTTTTTTCTCAATTGGACTACTATATTTCTACATCAAAATTTTAGAATATCCTAAAGAAACTCACACGCATAATCTACTTATTTGGTTTTGAAAATATTAGTGTGTCACTTGAGGACAAGTAACATTTTAAGTTTGGGTATTTTGATACACCTAAAATATATAATCTCTAAAATATATAATCTTTATGTATAATCTTTATGTACACATTTTTATACCTATTTTTGACATATTGTGCTTTAATGAAAGGTATTTGTGTGTTTGGAGCGAAAATGAAGAAGGCGCAAAAATGAATTGAGGCGCCTAAGCACCCAGAACTGGTGCTTACGCGCCAGTTAAACAGAGAGAGCCGTGCCTAAGTGCCAGGTACCTCCCGCTTAAGCGCTAGATGTAGTTATTTGATGATTAATTAAATTTGAACAAATTTTTGAAGAGGTTTTTGAAGCAACCCTTGGTGAAAACGTCAGAAATTGTTAATGGACACAAAAATTCATTCAATTGGCTTTTGAAAGGAGGCAACTTTTAGAAGATTCATTGAAAGAAGACACATTTTGAAGAGATGTCAAGGCATCTTTTGGAAAATTATAAATGAAGACTTGGATCATCCATAGAGTCCATCCATCCATCTATCCATCTATCCATTTATCAAGATCAATCGAGTGTCGACCACCACATACGCCACCGCGGTCGCTGCCGCTCACTTTTCTTTTTATTTTGAGTTGTATTTTGTATTGTAACTGAAAGAAGAGATTCAAAGGAACTTAGAAACTTTGGTGGAGAGGATTTGAGATAAATTTTTATCTTTGTGATTACATTTAGTTTTAATTTAGATTTCTTGTTTGTGTGCATGATTTTTATTTTGTGTGGTTATGTTTTCTCCATTCTCCATGAATTCTGAGTAGTTTTCTTTATCTTTTTCCTTAAAATGATAAGTGATTTAGTATTAGAGGGAAGTTGTGTAAAGTATTATTCTTTAATGTTGAAAGAAGTTGTGATGATTTTAAACCTTGTACTTCATTTACTTCTTAATTTGACCAATTAAGATGTTAATACATGTTGTGAGAACATGTAAGATCTGAGATGGTATTGTCTGGGTCAATAAATGATAAGAATCACATTTGATTTCATGGATTAGAATGTAATTCATGAGGTTGAGTGCAAATAAATAGAGAAATAAACTTTGAAGGGTGTAGAATTAGAGGAATTTAGAGTGACAGGCTAAAACCCCCAATTTGATTTATAGTTTTAGGTTTTTATGCAAGATATTAGCCTCGAGGTGGAGGGAGATGCGGGAACTCTAGAGTGAGAGCTAGTATATTTCTTACCTAGTCCGTCTTTAGGACTATTCAAACTATAGATTAGTCGGTGTTCTTTATAACATCTCTAGTAAGAGTAAAAAATATTATTGCTCCTATTTGGAACAACACAATTTGAATACTTCCACAACAGGATTCTTATAATTGTTACTGATTCATGATAAGGAAAAAATATTTTATTTATATTGTCTTCATCTTGCAAATATCTAGTTAAGTTAGTTAGTTGCTTACTTTATTTTCAATTATTCAAAATTACAAAAAGAATTGAACTTTTTTTCCTATTATAACATATAGAGTTTAAGTAAGAATATTTTGCTAAGTAGAATTTTGTTATCTAATTTCTCCTATTTTGTAAAGTTGCATATTGAATTTTCCCTATCAGTTTGATATTTGGGGCTTAATCAAAAAGTCTTATATTTCTTGATAACGATACATATACTTGCTTAGAATCACATATTTAAATATTATAACTGTATTCTTATTTGCTTCAAAGTCAATATTTTACCTAGCTTTTGCTTGGGATCAAGTATTTGGCGCTATTGCAAAGTAAGAATTATAATTAAGAAAATTAAAAATATAACCGCATACATCACATTAACATATATCAAGAGAATCGGGATCAGTCAACACCTTTTTCAAATGAAGACATATGCCTCAACATACGAACTATACGTATATGTATATATATAATGTAAAAAATCATTTAAGATGAGCAATTCTAGCCGAATAAAATTGAACACACACTTGCTTGTGTTTAACTCATTTTGTAATTTGAACAAGAATAATTTGTTCATGTTCGGCTCGCTAGCTTAACAACAAACTAAATGCGGGCATAACTATAAGTCGAACAAGAGTTTTCGTGAACAATGACCTTTTTTTGACACCCTTACTACAATAGTCAATAAGATATGATTATTCAATAAGTTTAATTTAATTGCAAATGTAAATCAGTTGTATTTCATATTTTTAAAACATTAAGTTTTAGTTTCATAAGTTCTGATTTATTCTAACTCTTTTTCTTCTCATCAAATTTTTTTTCAAAGTGATGGGACAACTCAGTTACACAAAAAAAATGTTTTTAATATGATCTAATTTTTATTTTTTTTATTTATGTAAGTTATCATACTTATGATATATTGTTATCACAGTAATTTAGTATTACCTTTTATTTAAAGGCTTATTTATCCATATTCTTAAATTTTCAAGAAAAAAAATAATAATTTTGTCATATATTTTAGTGAATATGTGCCAACATACAAGCTATGTTTAATAAAAATAAAATATACTGGTTTTTATATTTTAAAATGTATTAAATTTCTCAAAATTATATTTTAAAATAACATTCATTTGTATGAATAAACATTTGTATCATATTTATACAATATAATTTGGTTTCTTATTATTTCACCAACACATTTAATTTATTATTTATTCCAAAATTGAACTATAAATATATATATCTTTAATCTTTATTTATTATAAAAATATCTAAATTTCATTAAAATAACTCCACTAATAACATTTTTTTGAGACACTTATAATCTATATTTTTATTAAAATTAGTATCATTTTTCATTCCTATTTAATTTTTTTTTAATTTTAACATTTTTTTCATTTCCCTTCAAACAAGCATGCAGTATGTTCGCCCTTCATATTCAGTGGTAGCACTAAATTATACAATTTACATTTATTTTTATTTTTTTAAATATATAATTCTAAAATATAATAAGCATGATCTGAATTTAGGACTTGAACGAATATTTATATCCTCAAAAATTATTTAAAGCAAAGTGATCAAAGTATTATATGTTGTTGCACATGCAAATAAACAAAATTTGTGTGGTATGTAGGCATGATAAGATGGGCAGTTGTGCGTGTGATTAGCGTGGAGGGTGGTGGCTTGGAGGACAATTAAGGGCAGCCGGCGTTGTCTTCGTCGGGCGACGTCTCTCAACGTTCTCCTTTGTCCTTTAAGAATCTCCCGAGTTCTTATCCGCCCATCCCCGGAAACCCTAACTTCTGCTCCTCTCTCTTGTTCTATACTCGTCCTTGGCGAGAAATCCAGGTGAGGCCCTTATCGCTCTCGCTTCCGCTTTCATCAAATGTGGTGTTTTTTTTTTTATTTAGTTATTTCGCAATCATGTTATAGTTGGGGGATTCCATTTTATTGTCCTCTTTATTCTGAGGTATACGCGGATCGGATGCTTCGATGCTGATGTATAGCGTGATCGGATGCTTTTGTAGTGAATTTGGGGCTCTGCATTGATTTTTATTTTTTGGTTGCTTGTATGAGCGCTTTTGTTTGGAAGGTGAAGACTGACCCGCGTGAGTTATTTGCGATTGAAAGGTGGTGTGCCGCTGTATTGTCTGCGTAATTTTTCCTTTATTATGCTTCTTGGATGACATTGCTGTTTTGATGCAAGAAACGTCAGCGGCACTTTTTTTCTCAAAATTCACTGTATCGTTCTTTATGTCCAACCCTGTCTTGGGTCATGGACTGTCTTTTTTATTTTTGTTAGAAATATGTTGGTCTTTCTTGTTCCAACAGTCGGACACCCTGACAGTGATATAATCTTTCTATGAGACTAGGGAATTCGGATGTCGGAATCCTGCCTGTAGCAGACTCTTTTTGTCATGTCTTCTGGTTGATTAAGAGTGGCTTAATTTTTTATTAATGTTTTTTTGATGCACTTATTAAAATTGTTCTCATAACTGTTGCCCCTTTTGTGATCCTTACATTGCCTGTGTAATAGTGCAATGTTGCTATAAAGTTTTACATGCTGAATGTTGGTAACCAATGCATAACTTGTTCTAATTATACCATAATGCTTATTGTTTCCCTATATTAATTTGAACTGGTTCATTGGTAGGTAATGTTCAACAAACAGTAACTATAAAGAAGAAATATAAGATGCCACGCTGGCTTTGCTGTTCTTTTAATTTGAAAGCTACGGATGACCTTCACGAGAATGAAGCTTTAAAGAGTTCCAAACCTTATGAGGATGGTAAGAATGGCCAGTCCTTGCTCTAAAATAATGTTAATTTAGGGTGTTCTTTACGCTTATTACTTAAAATTATGTAATAAGAAGTGTTGAAGTCTATGTTAAATGTATGCTGTTTAACTTCATTGACATCACTGAAATGTTAAACAATTTCAGGTTCAGTTTATGATTGTCATATAAATGTCAAACGATTTGTTACTAGTTCATTTCTGTTGGTTGTTCTCTACCTTTTTATCACCTTCAATTATTTTGACAAGATTGCCTCCATATACTGCTTCCCAAAAAACTGCTTGTTTGTGTGGCTAACCTGTATTTTGATTTTGGCGACAGCTCTTTACAAATGTGTATAGTAGATTTCCTGATTCGTAGCTGATCGAGGTGATTGCTGCAGGAAAAGGTGGTTGAAACTTTAAGAAGGAAGCATTTATTTTTTAGAAATACTAGTGAAATTGGGTAAATTGGTATTGTTAGTATTTAGAAATCGTTATTGAATAAGGAAAATTGCAACTTAAGTTTAATCAAACTCTGCTATTAATTGTTTTTGTGATTAAATAAGATTAAAAAAAATTCAGGAGTGTTTGAAAATAGTTTATTAGTATGATGACTTGGTGGTAGTGTGAGCGAGAACAAGATTTTTTTTAAGCTATGTACTTGTAATAAATGGTATAAAAAAAAATCTTATTAAGGCATATTACAAATAAAAGCTAAAATGATTGCATATATGGTTACTGAAGAGATACATAATCAATTTTCATATGCTTGATCCATAGCTTGGCCATTCACCCCCTCTAGCTTTGCCATTGACATTAACATTTAGGCCTCACTCAACTCAATTACAAAACTAAACCTAACAAAAGGTTGAACCTTACAAATTAACTTTCATAAACTCGGATTATCTTATCAAACTATACTCAAAATAAGCATGCCATTTTTTTTTTGTATAGATATAAGTAATTCAAAATAAAGTAACAATAACGAGGCCTTCAAGTCATTAGGGTAAATAAATATGTATTTGAAATCCCTAGTATCAACAAGTTCCAAAGTGTATTACATCCATAATCAACACCATCATTGGCATTACCCTAATTAATTGTGATTCATTTTAAAACCTTCTCCTCCTTAAACTTTTGTTGAGGGCTGCATGTGGCAATTTTTATTTATGAAACACTTTAATTACAAATTTCAATAGAAATTGTATTTAAAATAAATGCTTTGCTTTAGCATCCAAATTAAAAAATAGCATCAAATTAAAAAATAACTCAATTTTCTATTTAAATATATTTATACTACACTTTAAGACAATGGCCAAGATTTTTTTCTATAAATAGACCCATCAAGATGGTTTTATAAGTTACTGAAGAGAGACATGATCATATTTCATATGCTTGATCCATAGCTTGGTCATTCACCAAAGCAAGACGTTAAGATTTACATCTCACTCAACTCAGTTACAAAAATAAATCTAACAAAAGGCTAAACCTTACAAATTAAATTTCATAAACTTGGATTATCTTATCCAACTATACTCAAAACATGCGTGTTTTTTTTTTTTTTGCATAGATATAAGTAATTCAAATTAAAACAATGATAACGAGGCCTTCAAGTCATTATGGTAAATAATATGTATTTGAGATCTCTAGTATCAACAAGATCCAAAGTGTATTACATTCATAATCAACACCATCATTGGCATTACCCTAATTAGTTGCAATTCATTTTAAAACCTTCTCCTCATTAAACTTTTGTTGCATGTGGTAATTTCTATTTATGCAACCCTTTTACAAATTTCAATGAACATTGCATTTAAGATAAATGCGCTTTACTTTAGGATCAAATTAAAAAATGACTCAATTTTAGTTTTAAATTTATTTATAATACACTTTAAGACAATGATCAAGATTTTTGTCCATAAATAGACCCATCAAGATAGTTTTATAAGTTACTGAAGAGATCCGTGATCAATTTTCATATGGATCATAGCTTGGTGATTCACCCTCTCTGGCTTTGCCAAACGTTAACATTTACACCTCATTCAACTCAATTACAAAACTAAATCTAACAATAGGCTAAACCTTACGAATTAACTTTCATAAACTTGGATTATCTTATCAAACTATACTCAAAACATGCGTGTTTTTTTTGCATACATATAAGTAATTCAAATTAAAACAATGATAACGAGGCCTTCAAGTCATTAGGGTAAATAAAAATGTATTTGAAATCTATAGTATCAGCAAAATCCAAATTGTATTACATTCATAATCAACACCATCATTGACATTACCCTAATTAGTTGTAATTCATTTTAAAATCTTCTCCTCTTTAAACTTTTGCTGAGGCAGCATGTGGTAATAGGCAACCCTTTAATTAGAAATTTCAATAGACATTGCATTTAAGATAAATGCTTTGCTTTAGCATCAAATTAAAAAATAACTCAATTTTTCTTTTAAATTTATTTATAATACACTTTAAGACAATAACTCAATATGGATCAAGCATATGAAATATGTTCATATTTCTCTTCAGTAACTTATAAAACCATCTTGATGGGTCTATTTATAGAAAAAAATCTTGGCCATTGTCTTAAAGTGTAGTATAAATATATTTAAATAAAAATTGAGTTATTTTTTAATTTGATGCTAAAGCAAAGCATTTATTTTAAATACAATTTATATTGAAATTCGTAATTAAAGGGTTTCATAAATAGAAATTGTCACATGCAGCCCTCAACAAAAGTTTAAGGAAGAGAAGGTTTTTAAATGAATTACAATTAATTAGGGTAATGCTAATGATAATGTTGATTATGGATGTAATATACTGTGGATCTTGTTGATAATAGGGATTTCAAATACATTTTTATTTACCCTAATTACTTGAAGGCCTCGTTATCGTTACTTTATTTTGAATTACTTGTATCTATGCAAAAAAAAAAAAAATGGCATGCTTATTTTGAGTATAGTTTGATAAGATAATCCGAGTTTATGAAAGTTAATTTGTAAGGTTCAACCTTTTGTTAGGTTTAGTTTTGTAATTGAGTTGAGTGAGGTGTAAATGTTAACGTCAATGACAAAGCTAGAGAGGGTGAATGACCAAGATATGGATCAAGCATATGAAAATTGATTATGTATCTTTTCAGTAACTTATAAAACTATCTTGATGGGTCTATTTATAGATAAAAAATTTGACCATTGTCTTCATAAACATTCTAATCCTGATATTTAAAAAATATTTCAAAAATGTTACATAAAAATAGAATGAGTTACTTCAAAATTATAGAGTAAAAATGATAAGATAATATCATAATTTAAAAAACCAAATCTAACTGAAAGCATCATAGCAATATCATTGCTTTGGTTTTATAGAAGTTGACAAATGGACTCCATTTTTTTTCTCTGGTGGACAAAATGTTATTTAATTTCTTCATCTGATAACTATAAATCATCTTAATAGTTCAAATTCCCTCCAATGAACAGTATATTTATATTGATCAGAAGTGCCCTCAGTAACTATGCCTGCTATATCTTGATGATTATTGGAATTGGCAGTAGAATAAGTATAATTAGATATTTTTGGCAATATGATGACAATGTTAGAAGATACACATAAAAGAAAAGCACATGGGGATTTAGTGCATGTTGATATAATAAGGTAAGTAGAAATTGATGCATTCATTAACATGAAAATGATTCTTATAAGGTGTTTATCGCATTGATCAAGAGCCATTCAATTGGAGGAAATAATGAATATCATCATTAACGAAGCACTTAATATATTTTTATGATTTTAAGCAGCAAGTAATAAATTTCATAATTGATTTCATTATAAGAAATGTAGATGGCTAAATTTAGGCTTCAGCAAGCCTTTGATATTTTATGAGTTAGGGTAATTATCAATGGCTCACAAGGGCCAAATAGTCTAAAGCAAGGTGTCGCAATAATAAGTGAAAAGTTTGGCTCACAAGATATTTCCATTAGATGATAAAAGATAATCAAATAGATTTATATTTTAGAGTTTTTTGCCCAAAAAGTGATGCCATGTAAAGAATGGCATATGAATAACATTAATGCTTACATGAGAAGCCAATCTGATGATGATGTTATACTTCTCTTACTAAGGATAATCCAAATGATGAGGCATAAATTGGTGAGCCAATGGTCCTATTTTCTAATTAGGACATCCTTGGAAAAGGAGTACAATGATGGGCTTAGAATATCTCATGGATGATGCATTGAAAGGTATCGGCATAACTCAGCTTCAATTTCTGAAGTTATGATTATAGGAATTGACTTCGGGAACTGGGTTTACCTCTTCTCAGCCAGCAGTAATAGAGAGCCTGTATTGGGCTCACCATATTCCATTGGAGTAAATGGCTTGACTTGAAAGTGGCACTCACCACAATGGGCAATGATCATCACCCGCATACCTAACACAAGGAGTTTGACAATTAAACAGTAAGGCATATCTACTATGAATGGGAAATGCCTTCTAACTCCAACTAGGTGTATTTTAAGGTCACATCATTAAGTCTTAGTAGTATGCTTGATTTAGCTAATGAATAGGGAGGAAGAGAGTTGGTCTCTATATGACTTGGCTAAATATACAGGTTGCCCGACATTCTCAAGAGTGCTTTCTTATGTACATACAAATATTTAGTCTAAAACTGCTTGCATACATGTCTTAGGCTTGCAGCATGCTTCTGCACTAGTGCGTATTTGTAATGCAGATCACATGTCTTGTTCGTTCTTTGAAAATTTGGTATTGAGGACAAGGTTTGCATAAGTAAAACTCACAATTGTACTAACGCTACTTAGTATAGATCTAGAATATGTCAATAGATTTGTAAATTGGAACAGTACTCAATTTGATCAAGTGAAAGTGATACCTTAATATAGAACATAGTTGAACCATTGCTTTAAGAGGTGGTTTTTTCGAAGTCATTGAACTTCTTGAATCTTGATGTATGGAAGTAAAACAGCTTTCAATATGAAAGTTTTTATTCTAGACATCTTAAAATATTGATTTGAAGATTTTTTTTTGAAATTGGATGCTAAGTGACCGCTTTTGGTGGTGAAATCATCAAAGATAGAATATAACTGAGACTGAATTCTCTTATAGAACATGCTCATAACCAACCTAGTTGATGCATCATGTGAAATGAAAATGACCATCAATTTTTTGTGCAAGTGTTTGCAATGTGATCTTGTCTAGTTTTTTTTTGGTGATTCAATACACAATGATGTAAAGGATATTAAATGCGAGGTGGAGAGAGACTTATCATGTGAGAAAGATGGGGTATTGGATAGGAGATTTTCAAAATGAGGAAACGAATCAGGAAAAACTTTAAATGCAAGGAAAAGAGTTTTGATAGAGAGACAAGCACAGTTTGATGAAAAATTTAAGAGATCAAAGGACATTGAGGAAGGAGAAGAGAAATTATATAGGGAAATTTGTAGAGCAAGGAGAGAGATCGGACGTGAGAGAGAGTTCCATTTTAAGATATCATAAGAGATTGAGATAGGAGAGAAATTTGTTATATAGGGAAATTTGTAGAGCAAGGAGAGAGAATAATGAGAAATGCCTATTGTGCATGAAAAATATACATATTTTTCATTGCTTTATATATTTGCTTTATGATTCTACATGCAAGCAGAGCCCTCAAGCTTTATTTATAAATGCATGCTAATATATATATTTGCAAGAATGTAGAAAAGAAAAGAAAAAAGAAAAATTAATCGTTGACAATGCTATTATTTTCATTCCTCTATCTTCTTTTTGAAATCTTTTCATTTGTTTCATCTCCTTCTTTCCATCTTTTATAGCATTCTCCGCTCAGCTTGCCTAGGTTTTTGGCCTCTAATATACTTCAATGACTATTTTTCCTCCTGCTGTCACTTGGTGTATAATGGAAGAAAATAAAAGTTTCAACTCAAAAATGTTGGATACAAATTTCCAATAATTTTGAATTGGACTTTAATAGGATTCTAGTGACTTTTAATGTGTGCACATCATTAACTTTTGAATAATTTATTTGTTTTGAAATCCATCTTCACAACAAGATGGATTGTTTAATTTAGAAGTTATTGCTCTTTTAATTTGTATTTCAACATTTTCTTATGACTTATTTGTTTGCTTATAAAAAAACCTGGTATTGAGCATAATGATTTTGTTCTGATAGTTTAAGTGTGAGAATGAAATCATGACTTGTGAAGGAGTTTAAAGAAGGTTTTTGGAATTTGAAATTGAAAAAGGTCAAATGTTTCCAAACTATGCACTTGGGTGGGTGCATTTTAATCCCAATTTATCTAGTGTCCAATTTAGTCCCTTGATTTTTCAAATTTGATCCAAAATATTCTATTCAATTCTCAAATATGATCCAAATAATCGAATAGAGGTAATATTTTGGATTATATTTGAGAAGCGAAGGGATTAGTTAAATGCATTGGATTGTTGAGGCTACCATATCATCACACAAATAATTTAGGAATCTTTTTGACTTTTTTTTTTTCAATTAGAAATCTCTATTGCTAATATGAGAGGAGATGTTTGGGTCACATTAAACATTGATCATCTAATGATCCGATTAGGAGAGTAGATGTTTTAGATTCGACTTATGATAAGAAAGGCAGAGGTAGACCCAGGAAGACTTGGGCTTATTGTATAAAAAGTGATCTTAATATATTAGAATTAGATGAAAATAAGACACTAAATGGGAAGCAATGGAGAAAAATGATTCATGTAGCCGATCCCATTTAGTGGGATTAAGGCTTTGTTGTTGTCATTGTTGTAGTAGAAATTTTTATTGCTTATCTAACTACATTCAACCAAATGATGAATTTAACAAGTTTTGTCATTTTTCAAACTTGATTTTTATCTTCAAGCAACCAAATGAGCTCTTAATATTTTCTTTCCTTTTAGTTCCAGTTACATTTATATATTGTCTTTTCTTCCCGAAGGACTGCAAAAAGATCCAAAACTCTCCATTGTAGCTAAAAATGAGACCAAGGTACCGCCTCCTATTGATGTACCTGCCCTCTCACTTGATGAACTGAAGGAGAAAACTGACAATTTTGGATCAAAAGCATTGGTTGGAGAAGGGTCATATGGAAGGGTATATTTTGCCGTTTTAAAAGATGGTAGACAAGTGGCAATTAAAAAGCTTGATGTTTCACAAGAGCCTGAGTCCAACGTAGAGTTTTTGACCCAGGTATGCATTTTAGAACCAACTTAAGTCACATATTCCTTCCTGTTTTGAGATAGAATATTTTTCCAACCACGATTGACTTGTTAGATTTTCTTACATTTGACCATGTTGTTTGCTCAAAATCAGGTTGCAATGGTATCAAAAGTAAGGCATGATAACTTTGTTGAACTGCGGGGCTACTGCGTGGAGGAAAATCTCAGATTACTTTCCTATGAGTTTGCTACCATGGGTTCTCTGCATGATGTTTTGCATGGTATTATTTTCATGCTATCCTAAGTGTTCCTTCCTAGAGTTCACATATAATGTAAATCATTTTTCTAAATAATCAAGATAACTTTTTTTTTTATTTTTTTTCATGTTTATTTGCTTTTTTTTTGTGATGATTTAGGCAGGAAAGGAGTGCTAGGTGCACAACCTGGTCCTGTCCTTGACTGGATGCAGCGTGTGAGCATTGCTATTGATGCAGCTAAAGGTCTAGAATATCTCCACGAGAAAGTTCAGCCTTCCATTATACACAGGGATATCCGTTCAAGCAACATTTTACTATTTGAAGACTTCAAAGCAAAAATTGCAGATTTCAATCTTTCTAATCAAGCACCTGATATGGCTGCTCGTCTCCATTCTACACGTGTACTCGGAACCTTTGGTTATCATGCTCCAGAGTAATTGTTTCGAATACTCAATTTTTTGCTGCATCTATATCATTAAAGCTTGAACTCATTTTTTTTTAATCATTCTTTGTTCATGCTTTAATTAATATTCTGGCAATGTGCAGCTTCTTGCTATGATGGTCATTTGTCAATTTATGTAAGTCTGAATTAAGTTTTTAGCTTTTGGTCCCCATTTTTAACAATAAATGGGATGCACAAGAGTGTGCAAATTATAGAGGAATTAAGTTGATGTGTCATACTTTAAAATTATGGGACGACAATTAAACATAGTTTAAGATGTATAACAAAGATTTTTGTATAATCAATTTGTATTTATGGCGGCCAGGTCTACTATAGAAGCTATAAATTTATGGAGAGATTTAATAGAGAAGTTCAAAGATAATAAAGAGGATCTGCATATGATTTTGATTGATTTAGAAATAGCTTATGATAAGTTTCTAAGGGATATCCGTTGGAGAGTTCTTCAGAAGAAATGTGTTCATATGACTTATATTCAAGTCATTAAAGATATGTATACTTGACCTGTTGAGTTCGAACAGGAGGATTGACCAAATATTTTCCTATATCTGTTGGAGTACATCAGGGATCGAATTTAAGCCCATATCTATTTGTTTTAGTTATGGATGTTCTTACTGGACATTTACAGGAGGATGTACCTTGGTTTATTCTTTTTGGTGATGATATCCTTCTCGTGGATATGATGAGAGAGAAAGCTCAGGAATAACTAAGAATTATGGAAGGTCTACAATGGATTCTAAAGGCCTTCATTTGAGTAGAACTAAAACTGAATACATGGAATGTAATTTTAGTATTTGTAGTCTAGTGATAGAATTGTAACTATGAGCGATCAAATAATTAAAATCTATGAATGCTTTAGGTATCTTGGGTTTATTGTTCAAAGTGGTGGTGATATATATGGGGATGTTATTAGTAGAATTCCAAGTTGATTGATTGAAGTAGAGGAATGCATCGAGCCAATAATACCTATTGTGATAGAAAAGTACTACTTGGATGGAAACGAAAATTTTATAAGATGGTGGTGAGAATTGCAATGATCTATGGCGTTGAGTGTTGGCTTTTAAAGAAAAGCATAAAGCTGAGTTAAGTGTTGCCGATATGAGAATGATTAGGTGGATGAGTGACTTTACACTTAGAGACAAAATGTGAAATGAATATATCAGTGATAATATTGGTGTAGCTCCAGTGACAGAAAAATTAGAGAGAGTCACCTTAGATGGTTTGTTCATTTTAAACGTCGACCATTTGATGATTCGATTAGGAGAGTAGATATTTTAGATTCAACTTATACTAAGAGACGCAGAGATAGACCTAGAAAGACTTGATCATATTGTATAAAAATTATCTTAATTTATTAAAATTAAATGAAAATATGATGCTTAGTAGGACACAATGGAGAAAAAGGATTCATGCAGCCGACTGCACTTAGTGGGATAACTGTTTGTTGTTGTTGTTGTATTAAAAGTAGGAACCCGCAGATATTTTGGTGGAAGAGATTGAACAGTGAATAATAATTTCTTTTTAATTTGGCTAACAACAAATTCTTATTTTTGTCTGTTGTAAAACAACTTTTATTAGAACTAGTACTTAAACCATTTAGATTTTCAAACTCCCTTAAAAAATTTTTTAGCAGATTAATGACTAGCGGTTCCATTATAAAAGATGATGGAACTTAAGTGAGATGTGCCATGATCAACCTTGGTTTTTAAATAGCAAACTTTATACTTAAACAAAAGTTTATTCAACCCTCTAGATTGGAATTGCGCAATAATAATTAAAAGAGCTGGAGATGTTGGATCACTTTGCCTTAGGCCATTGGAGGATTTGAAATAACCGTTAACATTCCCATTGATGATGATGGTAAACCAACAATTATTCATATAATTTTTCAAAAAATTAAGAGTATTATGATCAAAACCAAGCAATTTAAGCACATGAAATTAAAATTCCCAATCAATGTTATCATAAGCTTTGAAAATACCTTACTTGATGACAGTATTATAACCTCTTGACTTTAAAATTGATATCATGGATAAGCTCTTGAACCAGACAGACATTATCAATAATGGACCTTCCCTTCACAAAACTAGTTTGGTTAGGAGAAATAATTTTTGGCAAAATAAGTGCAATTCTAACAACCAGAATTTTAGATATAAGCTTATTAAATGCAGAGCAAAGGCTTATCGGTTTAGGTTGGTTCCATCTTTCAGGATTAGGAACTTTAGGTATGAGGACAATGGAAGTAGTGAAAAAAATTTGTGATAAGATGAACCATTAAAAAATTCCTCGATAGACTATATAGAATCAGATTTGATGACATGCCATCATTTTTGGAAAAATTTGTTAGTAAAGCTCATGTCCATAAGACAATTATATTTCTTCTTCAAAAAGACCACTTCAAATATTAAAATTATCTTCCTTAGATATCAAAGAAGGAATGATATCATAGAAGTTGGAACATGAAGAAACATTTTCTTTATATAAAATTTTAGAAAAATAATCATCCACCAAAACCGGTAATATTCTCTTGGTTAGTGATTTAAGTGTCATTATCCATAAATATTTTATTTATGTGATTCAATGCTTATTTTTGTTAACGATAGAGTGAAAGTATTTGATGTTTTTATCATCTTTCTTTAGATGTTTACAAGTAGCTTTCTGTTTCCAGTAAATTTCTTCAATCTCTTTAATTTTACAAAGCTTGATTTTAGCATGTAATAAATCGTTCTCAAAAGCATGATTAGTAGTCCCAAACTAAGATTTTCAAGTCTAACTCCTTAAACTTCAGTGTCCAAGATTTTAGTTAATAAATTTTTGAAGTGATTCCGATTCCACCAAGTCAGAACTTATTTGAGCTTTTTAAATTGAAGCGATAATCTAATCATACCATGAACCTGATTGTTAGAAGAAAAGGGGGAAGTCAATTTTTGGAGAATTTTGAAAAAGGTAGGATCTTCCATCCACATATTTTGGAATCTAAATCCAAGAAAAGAAGACTGGTTAGCCTTTTTAACATTGATTAACTGAAGAGAATGATCAGAAGTAGAAAATGAAAGCAAATGCAGAAAATAGAAGGGATGTCAAATGGGTCCATAGTTCTGGCTTATTTTTCACACCTTTAAAGATAGGAAGTTCGGTTATGCCGTGTATCACTTTGAAGTGATGCTTCTATATATATATATATATATATATAACATTGTTGTTCTGCTGTTTATTCTCCAAGGGTCTGAGGGTTCCTGACAGTATCGTAGATTTGAAAAATCACATAGACTGGCCAGTACAAAAATTAATTCCATGATTCTATATTTGGATTATATTAGTCCTTTAGTGTTTTCTTATTGCAAAACCCCAGTTGCTCATCTTGGGATTTCTGTACTTCTGAAGAAATATCTCTACTTTTTTTTAACGTTGGATCGACAAATGAGTAAATTACTTTTATAGTTTTATTTGATTGAGGACCCATAAGATCAAATGAAGTTGCTGAAAGCATTTTCTTTCATAGTTTTTGTTTGTCTTAGTACTTTTTCTGTGGCAGATATGCGATGACAGGGCAGTTGACCCAGAAAAGCGATGTGTACAGCTTTGGTGTTGTTCTTTTAGAGCTTCTCACTGGGAGGAAACCTGTTGATCATACAATGCCTAGAGGGCAGCAGAGTTTGGTTACTTGGGTGAGTTCCGTTAAACCTGGAAGCGAAGGTGTAAAATCCCTATCTCTTGATCAGGTTGGTTGGTTTTAGCTTCTTTATATGCTGACTTATGCTTTGTGCTTTTTTGTTAACTCTTTTTCAGGCTACTCCACGATTGAGCGAAGATAAGGTAAAGCAATGTGTGGATCCAAGGTTAAAGGGAGAATATCCACCGAAAGGCATAGCAAAGGTCTCTTTCCCAAATATATTAACTTTTTTCTCTTAGTTTACATAATCTTCAACTCAACATCAAACCATTGCTTGTGTTCTACTACAACAAAAAAATTATATATATGTGGATCAAATTTCATTAAATTTCGTAATAATTCAATAGTTAATTGAGCATTTGAAAAAGAGATTGATCAAATGATTTATAAAAGCCTCTTAAAAGTCAAGTTATACAGTTCACTAATCAAACCCATCCTATGTATATTTAATATCATCATGAAATCTAAACTCCAATCATTTGAAAATTTTACACAACATCAATTATTACCTTCTCATGCAATTGGACTCATTCTTTGATTAAGTTTTGATGTTATCAACTAATGATCAAATTACCTTAAAGCATCTTGACACTAGCATTAAAGATATTAAAGTGAATTAATAGTTCGAATAGGTTCAAACGTATCTTGGAAACAATATTGAAATCCGATTGGGTGTAGAACTATAATTCTTCTTTTATATAGGGTAAAGCAAGTGATGATAATGATGATAATGTTAAGATATATATGATGAATGTTAATATTAATTAGTGGAATGACTAAAGAGTTTTCGATCCTAGTGGCATCATTCTAAAGATTGGCATTAAGCATGATGTATCTATTGTTATTGATTACTGAGTTGCTTATAAAAGGTATTCTAAGTGAGAGATACCTTAATATATACTATTTATAACTATGAAGAAATTCTATCTAAGATAAGAAGCTAAGGATGTTACCTAAAGATGAGATATATAATATGTAATTTTAGTCGGTGCAAGATAGATAAATATTAGTCAATATTATTGAATGATAAAGCAATCTTGATGTGATTAGTCTAATTATTCTAGATTTTTTACATGAAACAATATGATATTAGGTGAAAATATAGCTCCTAGAGTTGAGATTGAGTAGTTAAAATATAAGTGTCTTAGCAATATTATATATCAAGTGAATATCACATAGGAGTTATAAAAGAATGTTTTTAAAACTACAATTAGACTTTGTTATTGCGTTATTGATTTGACTATTAGGCAATTAAGAAGTCACTAATAGCCAAGTTGAGTGTGCTAGATGTGAGAATGATAAGATCAATGTGTTTTGACGCAAGGAAGGATATATTTAGAAATGGTCAAATTACAGATGATTAAACATGTATAGGAATAAACTTAGATGGTTTGGGCATATAGAATGAATGTAAAAGATGCATTATTAAAATTTATACTTGAAATTAAATGAAGAATTATGAAGGAAATAGGACAGATCAAAAGTAATTTGTGTTACGTAAAAATTTTACGTTAAGTGATATCTACATCTCATGTCATTCTAAATTGAATCATGGTTGCTTGCCAAACTCTATTTGTAAACCATAAGCTGGATCATATGGAACTCAAAGTCTGCCGGAATTGTGAGAAATCTGAATTGTTAAATTTGCATCAATTTTTTTTTTGGTTCATTGCGTTTGGAGTTTTTTATTAGGTTTTATTCATTAGATACGATTAAATTTAACATGCATGCTGAAATATATCTATTGGGTTATCTATCATAGCGGCACAAAAATATTCCTTATATTCCAATATGAATATTAGCCTGTGTCTCCTGTAGTTTTTCCTCGGTTGGAATTTAGCTATCTAGGGTTCCCTAAGTATACTTTTGCTTATTGATATTAATATGCATAATTCGATTTTCATAATTTTTTATTTAACAATTAATATGCATAATTCGATTTTCATAATTTTTTATTTGGTATTATTGATTTCATCAATAGATTAAAACTTTCACTAGAAATTGAAATTCGTTTCTTTCCATTCACAGCTTTAGTAGAGAGATTACTTGCTTATGTTATTTAGTATTCTTCTTTATCAGATTTGCATGTTTATCTTTGCATTTCCTGCATTTAGTTGTTTGCTCATCGAAATATTCTACAAATATAAACATCACATCATCTTTTCAGATAATTGTGCACTAATTTGCTTATTTTTATTAGAAACCTTAAATATACTTAAATCAACTGAATTGCCATGCTACGCACATTATCTATAACAGATTTTTTAAGAATTTTTTTGAATCGGTAATGCAGCTTGCAGCAGTGGCCGCTTTATGCGTGCAATATGAAGCTGAGTTCAGGCCTAATATGAGCATTGTAGTTAAAGCACTTTCCCCACTCCTTGTAAATAAGCAATCTCTACCACAGCCAGATCCTGCTGCAGCGATTGCTGATGGTTGAATCCTGCAAAGCGTGTTAATCGTTGTACTTCAGTTGAACTGGTAAAAAAATCATTTCAATTTTCTCTTGAACCTTGCTTTTTACATATTTTGGTTAAATTTTAGGGGCATTCTTATATATTCACATATCTAACTCCTAAACCTGAATATCTGACATTTATACCACTCAAATATTTTATATCTCATAAAAAATGCCACTATTACCAACTTTTAAAATTTCAAATGCACCCTTCTAAACATAGATAAAATAGTATAAATATAAACATAGATAAGAATTATGTGATATGCATGTAAATTCTTCTAAATTTGATTGAGTAGAATTTTGCTTATGTTACCTTTCGTTGACTCCATTCTGCAGGTTTGCAAATTTGCTGCACCATTTTGATTTGGGGAGTGGAGGTTCATTTTCAATCTTTTAGTATTGGTGCAAATTTTCTATTTTGCGTGCAGTGTGATGTTTTGCGTGGAGAAAATAATTTGAACATATGGTTTTTGTGAATGGAGTGATGTTGGGCAAGGATCTTAATTTTGGTTCTTATTGTTCATAGCATCATTAAGCAAGAGCTTCTCATCTGATGGAATTTTAATAAAGTTATATGCCTTAACTATTTTCCACATGGATTCAATTATGGTAGATTGTTTTAGTGTCCTAATTTTCTTATATACCCTCGGTAAACCTGTGTTAGTGTCGTACTTTGTTGGTAGTTCAAATGAGCTTTATGTTTGATTTGAATCGCCAGTAATAATTTATACATTATCCCTTGTTAGAAAGATGAGTTACGGGAAGAGATGGTGCATATTCTCGAATAAGAGATTTCTTGCACCATCGTACTGAAGAGCCATTACTTTACTGGAAAGCTTTTATAAACTCCGTGGATAGTAGTATTGATTCTAAGAAATGCAATTTTTCATAAAATTATATTGTTTTGAACATGCCACGTCATGTTTGAATTTGAGGGTCCGTGGCATTTAAATATGAGAGGAATTCTACACTTTTTATAACTTAAAAAATTTAAAGATTGGATTAGAAGTTGTATATGAAAAAAATGTTGGCACGAATGTTGAAGTGATCTGACGGTGTAGAATAGATAATGCGTGTAAAAAGGGAGAGCCAATAGGAGATTCGGAGGTCAAATTCTCCCATCGGAAACACTAATATCAAGATTAATATAGGCAACCAATTGACTCAAACCTGAGTGGTTTGATCGGGAGGGAACTATAGGGCAATTCAGGCCCTTCCCCATGCTGTAGCCAACCCAAGGGAAATCTAGCCCCTTGGGTCTCACAATTCCATTGGAGACAATCAACGGCTTCCTAGAATATCATCAAGAATCAGTGAGATGAGTGTCAGTCATCCCTCAATGCTTTTTCGTCCAAGGGCTGCTATCTATCGGATAATGGTGATTCACCTTCAGCAATGCAGGAGCTCCTTGAGATGGATAGAGGGTCTGAGGTCAGAGTCGACCAACCAATCAATACAACATAGTCAACCGAGTCTATCTTGCCGACCCTCTAGCAATAAAAGTCTAAATAACAGACAACATCAAATCCAACCGATCAACAATGTTACCGGACCAAACCAACCAGTGATCCTCTCTAGCTTAGTTGACCAGCAACGCTTAATTAAGGGCTCACCAGTCCAGCCAAGCAAGCTTTATAATAGTCAAGCTTTGGGCTCACCTATGTAAAGTAAGTATGACACCCCGTATAGTCTCAACTAAAGTAGTGACATAAATTTAACTTCATATATTGCACCCCATTTTTTCTATAAATAGGTTGTCATTCTATGAGTAAAAGGTTACACACCTCTTCAAATTAGTGTTTATTGTTGTTCACCTTCCCGTCTCTCTCTCTCTCTCTCTCTCTCTCTCTCTCATGTCTTACACACTATTCCTTGAGTTTGATTCAATGACAAATTAGAATCTAACATCCTAAAAGGTGTGGTGAGTGTGGATTATACTAACATAAAGAAGAGGAGGATCATAAGAAAAAGAGAACTACAACAAAGACATTGTCAATATGAATTGCACTAGGGAATTCGTGCAGCAACAATGGTAGATCCAAGTGTTGAAGAATGAGATGATGAACACCATCAATAAGATACTTTGGGAAGGGAGCAAAACTCTCGACTGGAAGAACCGACACGTAATTGCTAAAGGATATCTCAGCCCGAAGAAAGAATTTAAGATTCCCAATACCTCGATAGTGTTGGGTCGGCTTCAACGGACAACTAAGCTAGCCAGAGAACACACTCTTGGCAGATTTTTGAAGCTAAGCCCTCGAAAAGATTCGAAGTCCCCTCTTTGGAATCCTATAAGAGTTGGACCCGACCAACCACATTGCCTCATTTGAGTCGACCGTCTGCTTGCTAAGAATCACATATAACTTGAAGTGTGGCCTATTTTTCACCACACTAAGGGGGGTCAGCTCTTAGGAGGTTTAACAGATTTTCAGGGGTGTGATCACGTTCCTCACAGACTTCAAATTAATGTTCATAGTGTAGTTCACGAGGCCCCAAAAAATCTCAGAATAGTTCACAAACCATATTGTAGGTCAACTAGAAGAGGAATGAGAGTCTACGATCGTTCACCACTTAATTCCAAAAGGAAATTAGGTGTTGCAGGCCAAAAACAAATAGTAGCACACACTTCCCTGCCTCAAGGGCTAAAAGAAGGGCCTTTCCATTATGCCTCAAGCTTTCAACGACCAAAAATCTTAGCTGAATTATTGGGGTTGGCAAACAATCAAATCTCAGTCGAGGAGCACAATTCTACCCCTGTTGTCGCCAGAGCAGAATCAATCACCCATTGTTCGTAAAAGAGGACCCCCAGGGAAGCATGTGGAGGTCGAGAGAAGATCTACGTCCTTTTGGTCATCCATTGTATGAAAAAAATTGACTGACTCGAGACAACAAGGGAGCCAACATGAGTTAAAAACGAGGAAGTCGGATGCAATACCCTGACTAGCGGGCGACCTGTTATAACGAGTGCCTATCTGCTCATCACAAAGCACCAAAGACAACTCCATTTAGAGTATTAATTGTTGAGGTCATTCAGAACAAGGAATATTGCAAGAAAGTGCCACCAAAGAAACATTGTGCATACCATTGAAACCAGGACCACAATACCGAGGGATGAAGAAATTTTCAAAGCCTAGTCGACGAACTGATCGGAGTTGGAAAACTCAAGGAGTTTATGGCACCAGGAACAACAAGCAAGAGGGAAGGGAAGGCTCAAGTGGAAGATAATTTGGGCAAACCTATTCGAGCAAATGCCAATCATATCACTGGGTGGTACCAACAATCTTTGGAGGAGGTGGAGAATCATCTCGACTGGCCAGTCTGAAGAGGCTCAAATCAGGAGAATTATGCACAACTGCTTTTACTATGATATGCAGTAATCATCCACCTATCACATTCGCCGACGCAGATCTGCCCTCAAGGGGAATCCTTACAACGATGTCATTGTCATTACCACCTTGATCATTAATTAAAAGATCAATTTCATCTTAGTCTATGCTGAGAGCTTAGTGAACATTCTTTTCAAGTTAGTGTTGGACAAGGTGGGACTTAAGGAAGACCGACCAGCTGCACTAGCAGAACACTTTATGGTTTCTCAAGCAATAGAAAAGAGGCCTTGGAAATAATCTCCATAACGTTCACCTGAGGAGAATGTGTGTGTTGAACTCATTTTTCAGTCAATCATTTTTTTGGCTTATGTTTTAACTGAATATCACTTAAGCTGAATCCTGAACTAAACCCTAATTGAATAGAATCAAAATCTAATTAAAAAAAAAATTAAAATCAATAAAATCAAGACCAAAATTAAATGCAACCAACTTAAATCAAATCCTAATTGATCTGAAAACAACCTTAATCAACAATACCTTGAAATTATTATTTTCTTTCACGAGATTATTGTAGTGCTCAAAACTTCATTTTGAAAGTTGCAAAATACTTATTTTTATATTTAAAGACCATACAAATGAACTTGATGCTTGTTTGAAATACTTTTTACATGAAATTCTTTCGTTTAAATTCTCAGGCATGAATATTGCACTAGAAATTCTAAAATTATTGTTTTTCTCCACGGGCCAATCCAATGATCAAAATCACATTCTTTAAGTTGCATAATCTTTATAATCACATATGAAAAGCATGCAAACCATTTTGGTAGTCATCGAATACCATTTTTATGTAAATTATGCACTTATGGTTATTATTTATGAAATACAGTCTCACATGATAGTTTTAACGAGTTATTATTTTTGAAATCTGACTTTTAATATTGCATTCATATCGTCAAAATCTTTTAAATGAGCCCATTCGTGGTTAAATCTAACTCCATTTAGAGACCCAATGAGTTGACGATAATTTGCGTAGAGAAAACAATAATTTCAATAATAAAAAAGACAACCTGGTCTCGATTAACTCAAAATGAATTCAAAATGAAATCAGACTTCAACCAAAGCTGATTTAAATTAAAAAATACACAATTTGGTCCATTAAAATCAATTAAAAACCCCAACTCAAAATCTATAATTTTCTCTCTCCTGAGAGTTTGAGCCCACTTTGACTTCAAATATATTGACATGGAGCTCGTTTTGATCAAAACCACTTGCACCACAAAATTCATTGTATTTTTCTCTATCCAATAAGCCCAAGTCAAAATTTTGACCATAGCCACCTGTTGACCTCTTTTTTTTTGAGGTCTAGTTTCTCCTCTTTAGAAGCCTAGGATCTAGCTATAGGACTTTCCTATTGATTATCATAGAGTACTAGTAATGGAACCCTCTCCCATAAAAATTCTAAACACTTCTTGAATCTTCTTGTGAAGTCTCACATGGGTGGTACTAAACCTTCATTTCTCGCCTGAGATGGTTAAAACCAACATGTGAAGATTCAAGAATGAGCTCTAATAGGATCAATGAGACCTTAGGGCAACCCTGGGTGGCTTGGTTTTGGTCACACACATTCCAAAACCCTAAAATCACTCACACTTAACCTTCCTCTTATTTCTCTTTTGAATACTCATGTGGGTGGTCTCAAGCCCTTAGCCTTTGACTAAGATGATTAGGATCAACATGTGGAGGATCCAAAATAAGTTCTCCTATGAGTTCCATGGCTTCAGTGGATTGGCTTCATGGCTTGTATAATCATCATATCCAACCAATTCCAATTTCACCAAAATACCCAACCTTGGCCTTCTACACCCAAATTTACCAAAAATTACCAAAATTTCCCTGAAACCCTAAATCTTCAAATTTATCCAAATTCAAAAATTTGCACCAAAAATCATGTTGAACCACTCTAAATAATCCAAATTGCTCAAATTCACCCTATAGTCACCAAAAATACCAAAATACCCCTATACCACCAAAAAATACCAAAATGCCCCAGTGCTTAAAAATTGCCAAAATCCCCAATTTCACTTAAAACTTCACCAAAACCTATTCTAGCCATCCAATTTTTCTAATTACACTCATCATCCCCAAACTTACACCCAATTCCAAACCTGAATCTTAAGCCCAAGTCAACTACCCCAAATTGACCCCAAAGCCAA